TTGTGGTCTCCCCCCTCGCAATATGCACACGTACGCTCTGGCGCTTTCGAGAAAAGCAACTTTCTTGATTTTTCGTGCTTCCACGATTTGTTTTCATCCCTTTCATTTGTTTCAACGATCGGATTTCTTCGTGCCCATAATCGGCGAGCTTCGGATAATTTTGAGAAGTCCCAGTTTTCCCAATCCGGGTCTGTGCGCACTAAATCCCCCCTGATAGCTTGAAGTTTATCCAAGGTCATGGGTACATAACCATTCACCGTCTCAATTTTCTTTATGGTTTGAAGCGCTTGGACAGCATGCATCAACTGATCGTTAAATTGATGTATTTTCTTAAGATTAACTTGATTGATAGTTGGCAGATCCATAATTAGTTTGACGTAAGCCTTAATAACTTCTGAATTCTTGCCATACCTATCTTGAAGTATGGCTTTGGCGCGGTTATAACCCTCGGGGTCGAAAGGTAAGCCTTCGATGATAGTTTTAACTTTGGGCGACAAAAACCCACACAAATGGGCAAATTTATTCACCGGTGCTATAGAACGTTTGTCCACAGTCTCAGTAAACTGACCGCAAAATCGTGGCCAAACAAGGGGCGACCCATCGAATCTTGTTATCTCAATCTTGGGCAGTTTTGCGCTAATCAATTCGACATTCTCTAAATTTTTGTAATTCTTTAAGGCTGGTACAGGGTTTGAGTCTACCTTAAGTTGATGTAATATCTCAAACCGTATCCTACCTTCCTTTTCTTCGGCATCTCTTTCCGCTTCCTTCCCTTGGAGCCATTGCTTGATTCGCGTTACTTCGTCGTCCGCCGCTTCGATTCTCTCGTCAACCGATGCCTCGAATTCCGCGATCGCTTCGAGATCGGTTTTATCCGCAAGTTTCAGCTCTTCGACTGTTTGTTTACATTGATCGACTTCACTAGTTATCACTTTAAGAGCGCTCAGATGACGCTCAATTGCCTCCTCTTTGCCTTTTTCTAAAATACTCGCCGTTTTCTTCACAGATAGTTCTAGCTGTGTTAACTTAACCTTTAGCTTCGATTCTGCCAGCTCCATAGTCACATGTATAAAGATTTACCACAGTAAATACAGATACGTTAAATCCCGTGTCGGAGGTGCCAGATTTAGTGGATATTCTGCCTCCGCTGGTTAGAATTGTAGTCCACCAAAGATCACAAAAAGTTTTATAAATTTATTATATTCTCTCAATCACAGTACATTAAATCACTCACTTTTCTGGTCTCGCTATATGTCCCGTCTCTCTCTATTCTATATGATCAGTTCTGTCTCAATTCTCTCTCACCTCTTGGCAGCCGTCACTCATCTAACTATATGATTAAAGATTGTCTAATTAACAAGATAACTAATATTAACTATGAGATAATAAAATTTGACCTGTCTCCAACAATATAACATCTAAATTACTTCAATCCAGTTTACAGCCATCATCAATCCCTATCGCCGGGCCTGGAACCTGTATAGTCAGTTTTCAAATGTAGTTTTCCATACAGCTTTAGTAAATTTGCCCATATCGCCTTCTAATTTAGGTTTGTTTATAGCCTACATGTTTCAGCGCAATTATGCTGCTTCGACTGCGAACACGTATGTCTCTGCTCTAAGTTATTATCATCGCCTTGCAGGCGTGCCAGACCCCAATAGGGTCTTTTGGTGATTGAAATGTTGAAAGGGTATCGCAAATGTGGGTCGCGCTTGGATACACGCATGCCCATAACTCTTTCTATCCTTCGCACGGTGTTGCAACAAACCTCAACCATTTGTGCGAGTGAATACCGTGCGTGTATGTTTAAAGCAATGTGTACAACGGCATTTTTTTCCTTTTTACGTGTTGGGGAAATCACTTGTTGTCCCAGGTCATCGAGCGTGCTTCATTTAAATCAGATTGTCCAACTTGTCGACCATTCAAGCGGCGTAATTGGACTGAAAATCACATTTTTTTTATTTTAAGCATTCTTACAACCAAACCAATGTATCAATCACTCTTAAGCGTCGTTCAGATATATGCCCAGTGCAGAGCTTACTGGATTATTTTTCACGCCGGGGTTTGTCGGACGGCCCGCTTTTTCGCACGCACGAGGGCCACGCGGTTTCACGCAAACTTTTTACTGACTATCTCGCACTCATTTTCAAGACATGTGGTCTCGATCCAACTAAATACAAAGGTCGTAGTTTCCGCATTGGCGCGGCAACATTTGCTGCGGAATACGGTTTTTCTGATGCCCAAATTCGATCAATGGGTCAGTGGAAATCCGACGCCTTTCGTAAGTATATTCGAGGTCCAGGCCTGTGCTCAACCGCTTTGCCTAGATAAGCCGAGTTTTTTCACCGGATTGATCGTGGCTGTCAATAAGCATTTATTTTGGCAAACTCCGCTTCCGTGCACATCTGACTGGTCAAGTTGACGCAGGGGCAAGACTTGACTACAAAGATTTTTATTGATTATTATGATGCACGTCGCTATATGCGACATACTGCTTTCGAGTGTTCTGTGATGCTGACGCAGGGGCAAGGCTATCAGAACACTCTTGTCTTCTCGGTGGCAGTTATACCTGGCAGTTCAACGCAGGGCACCAATTGTTTGGATATATATAGCTACCATCCCTTTTATATTATGAGCAATTTAATTAATACACATTTGCCAATACTATCACTCAATTTTGTAGAATTGTTGCTTGCTTGTTTCATCGGTCTGTAATCACTTTATCTGTCGATGCCTTGTCACGCTGGGGTGGGGTATGTCTCCTTTACCCAAGTAGACTTGTGGCGTTTTTATTACCCCCACCTTTTCTGTGCTAACTGTTAATGAATTACTTTGGTTAATAATTTGTTACGTTAAATTTATGTCATTGGTTACAAAATTAATAAACCGGCATGTGCCTTATGCAATACGCACATTGCCATAATTATTCCAAGTGGTGTCTGACTCGTTTATTGCGTAAAGAACATACACAGAAAACAGAGCTCATCGTGACAAGATATCCCCCAGATATAGCGTTAAATAAAGGAAGCGATAAAGGAATTATTGGCATACCAATGAAGATTTTATTGCTTCCTGAGCTTAGGATATATAAATAGACAAACTTGACATGGGACACATGGGTATTTTCCCCGTAATTTTCTGATCACATGAATGTAATGCGTGCAGGAAAACGGTAGGGAGAGGTGATACATATCTATAGCAGAATGCGCATCTGGTTCATTCTGCTCTTCGCTTTGGTAGCGCAAAGTCGTCTGTATCTTAAAGTCAAGTTTTTCCCCACCCTCCTCCCCGTTTTTCTGAACGCAAGACTATTCTACTTGTATATTGTATATTAGTTATTATAGTTGTTACTGTTAGTTGTGGGCGTTTTTACCCCCACCTTTTCTGTGCTAACTGTTAATGAATTACTTTGGTTAATAATTTGTTATGTTAAACTTATATCATTGATTACAAAATTAATAAACCGGCATGTGCGTTATGCAATACGCACATTGCCATAATTATTCCAAGTGGTGTCTGACTCGTTTATTGCGTGTAAAGAACATGCACAGAAAACAGAGCTCATCGTGACAAGATATCCCCCAGATATAGTGTTAAATAAAGGAAGCGATAAATGCATATATAGCGTGGTACACATTTGGTCTAAGAAAACAAAAAATACCGATGTATTCCTTTTCCACAAAAAACCATTCGCAGATATCATTTTAATAACGAATTAAATTATAATTTTTAAATTTTCAATTAGTTTTGCTGTTTATTTTAAAATGCATGCGTTTGTTTTTGCGTAATGTCCCGCCGGTCCATTACGGGGAAATAATGGACCACTGAAAGTGCTTCTCAGCCAATCACAGTCCGCCATTTCACCGGAAGTGATGCTTGCCATATAGAAATAACATTTAATATTAATAATAGGTAATTGGCTCGTTGCAGGCAACTGACAGGTTGTTCTTCTTCTTTCTTCTCACTCGCTAATTTGAATATATAGTATATTTTAAATAGTTGTAAATGCTCTGAATATATATTGTGATATGTATACAACATAACGTCAGCAAATAAATTTTACTCTTTACTATTATGTCTTGTTTGAAAGTCATGTGCTCATGGGCTTACAATATTTGTCTCTTAATCGCCTTAATGTTTCAAGTTTTAATACATTATCGAATTATTTCATTTTCTATTCGATCTTATATTATCGACGTAGGTAAAGTTATCCCTGTATGTTGAAACATTTTACTAGTGCTTCATTACGCTGATTTTATAGTCCAAATGGACGACGTCGGATTTTCATTGATGTTGACTTCAGCGAATAGTGATAGCCTTTCCAAGTTACCCAGTTGATACCGTCTGCAAACGTTTTGTGTGCGCCATGATGATAGAGACCATTCAAATTTGAATAATGACAACCTCTATACCACCAAGCACCTTTAAATGTCTTTGCACAGTTGCCGGTAGTGTCGGCATCTTTAGTCGCAAATGCCATACCATTTTGATAAGTAAAAGAATCTCCTGCTGTACCTAAAGAAAGTTAGTAAAATAAATATTTAAATTAACCAACAATAACTATAATCGTGGAGCTTACAAAAAAATACAGGAAATACTTTGCAAATGCAATATTAGCTACCCATTAAAGTATTAGGTCGCAGCTTGGTAATGCGGGTTTAAATTTTTGCTGGCAGCAATTTAATTCCTGAGTAGGTCAATAGATCTGGAAAAGTCTTTTCTAATCCATAATCGTTAGAGCAAGCGCATTTCACCTCTGAGATCGTGCATGGGTAATGGGTTAGGTTCTCGCTAAAGACGTTAGGCTTACGGACTCACTGTGAAAAGAACTTCTCAACGCTCTGCCGAAAGTCGCGAGTCTTGTCCAGGCGCTTCGGTTTCCTCCCACAGTGGCGGTAAGATGATAGGGTGAGTTAGGATAACATAATTAGGAAAATAATATCACAATAGTTGCAAAGAAGAATAGCTTATATAAGTAGATAATATAAGTAAACTTAATACGTCATGTGTTGATCATGAAGGTGAATATAGAACAAACTTTAAGGCAATACACTGGTTGCAACTGATGTTTGTTCCACCTTTTTCCTGAACGCTGACCGAAATGTACACCTTTTAATATGTTATTCATTTAGAGATAAGAGCATTATGTTATTCATTCAGAGATAACTCAAACTGACCAGTCACGAGTCTTCGGTAGGGTTGTACGTGCATGTCTCATGGCCAGAAATAAGCGACACGCGATTGCGTAACAGTCCTTCAACATTTAAAATACATAGGAACTTGTATAGTAATTAGTATAAGCTAAAAGACGGTTTCGAGCAGCCTAGACCTAGGCCTTCTAGTCTTATTTATATTTTTAGTATTCAGCGGTTTTTCACATCAAAAGACTGGGACTAGGTGATTTGGGGGCGGGGCGGAGGAACCAAGCCTAGAAGGCCTAGTTGATTTCCCAACAACAAGGC